AGCCGTGCTGCACGCCGAGAGTAAATCGCGATTGCTTCTAGAAAATTTACTTAATAGGCAATACAAAATAAGTTATTACCATACATATTTTTTTTTGTGACATAAATTTACCTTTTTGAATTTGAATTGGAATTTGATGTTTTATATTTACGTGGCCCGACGCTTGGGCCATCAAGCTCATCTTCCGTTGACCCACCACAAATTTTTTGCTAACGCTTCTTTTCACCCACTCGGAGAACAAAGGAGGTATTCAGTGCGGCTTTCTTCTAGAGCATAAATGTTTCTATCTCTTTCAATCCATGTATCCTTCCTCGGCTCACTAAATTTGAAAACGCATTAATATAGCTATATATTCTATGTAGTCGACTGAGTTTTATGAACCAATACACCACAAATTGATTATCTGCTAACTTACTACAATTCGTAATTCTGTAAGAAGATACGGACCGTCGCATGAGTCGCCCGGCGAGGGAGTACACATGAGTACCGGATCTCGCCATCAAGCGGCATTTCTCGCGATGAAAAAAAAACATGCACTACGCTGAGGCACTACCTGTCGTTAGCAGTTGTCGCGCCGGGAATCAGTAATGAATCAATCAAACAGAGTCCCCTGTGCTTGGTTCGCTTTCCTGCCAGCAGCCTCACACCCCGAAGATGACGCGATTCGCCTCGATTCTTCAAGCCAGGATTCTTCCTTGTAGACGTTTTCCTCCAGGTGCTCCCCGCAGGCGCTTCGGCGTTGGGAGCATGGGCGGGGCGCGGGGGTCCGGGCGGGGCGGCGGGCACGGAGAGCGGGCGTGGGCAGACGGCGCGGGCGGCGTGAGATGGGGCGGTGTGGGAATGCGGCGCGTGGCTGGCGGCGGGGGGCGGGGCGGGGTGGAGTGACGAGGGCATGGGCGGCTGGCGCGGGTTCGCGTGGACGGGGAGGTGTGGATGGATGTGGGGCCCGACCCGGAAAAAAAAGCGGGGCGCGGGCGGGGCGGGAGGGGGGGCGGGGTGGCATGGGCGCGGGGCGGCGCGGGGCGGTCCCCGTGGGGGCTCCGCGGGCGGTCGATGGCGCGGAGGAGGATTTCTCCGGACGGAGGCTGACGCGGAGGCGGAGGCGGAGGAGGCGGCGGCCAACGAGGAGGCAGTATTGATCGAGCCCCGCTGACGCCGCCGCCTCCGCCGCTATCGACCTCGCCCCGCCACCGACTCCCACGAATTATTCTCCCCAGCGTCTCCGGGCTCTATACCTCTCTTGCGACGCGATGCAATTCTCTGTGCATATTTGTACAACGGTTAACATCGTATGTTTGCTTTTTGTTGGCGTGGGTTAATGCTGTCGGAAAACCCAAATTTTTCATCTGTATCAGGAAGTGCATTGGGGAAGATCTTATAGGTGCTGTCGACAATGTTCATAAAGTAGTTGCTTCGAATCGTTGTATATCTATCAACTTCATTTGGAATACAATCTTTCGAGAATACAGGAGTCTTTTGATAATGTACCAGTTTCTCTTTTTACTTTCTTGCCTTACGAATTCTTTGTATATACATTTTTAACTCCTTTTATCACTAGTTCTCAATTAAGCGAGTAGTCTGATTTTAGAATTCAGGTGTGCAAAGAAAGGGAAAGGCAGTGAAAGCAAAGGACCTACATTTCTCGTTTTCTCATTTTTTTAAATAATAAATGATGTGCAGCAATATATTTTCAAACAGCATCTATGGCAGACGTATTGATAGGGAGGATCAATGAGCACTTAGTTACTTTACGTTGCAATTAATAAATATAAACTGTAAGCACAAATTAAATTCCTCATTCAATTCAATTCTATTGTTAAGATACCCGGTGCATTTTCTTAGTAACAAAGTTCACTGTATTCATAAGCGTCGGGCAAGAGAAATTATCTGAAGACACAAAAGAATTACATTTAAGAGAGGCGTGTCCTCCATATTTCAGATAATTGAATTATTATTTATAATGTGGCTGTAATAGACTATACATCTACAAAGGAATACATTTTATAAATGCTATAATTTTAGTACGCTAAGAAATCGTTCTTCTTGATGTGCCACACTCTAATGCGTAAAATATACGTCAGTCCTCCCTCTCCAAAATATTTAACATTACATAATAATTATTTGATTGCTTAAATGTAAAGAGCAGGGCACTCATACCGTTGCTACATATTCGTCTTTTTAACTTAAAATGTTCTAGTTATATCGTATTCACCTGGAGATTTAACAAGAAATATTATTGAATGTTTAATCACTTACCCTTTTAAATTTGTGTGAAGTTAGTGTGAAGAATTCTCATCAGTAAATTTATCGGCACTGAAAAAGGCACATAGCACTGTTGTGCTTTCCTGTATAAAAAACATCTTCCATAGATTCCGTTTGTACAAGAAATAATGTCTCGAAACAGGTTTGAAGAGATAAAAATATTTCTTCTCCTTCCAGTCAACGACAGCTCTGAAAAGGAAGGAAAATTTTCAAAATTGATCTTATTCTCTGACGAAGTGGAAAAAACGTTTATAATTCGATATATTTAAGAGTTCAGCAGCATTTATGAACAGGTGGTGTCATACTTGGGGCAACCTGTAGCGAAAATACTCATAAACGTCGCTCTTGAAATTCTGTTTTAAACGAATGATGCACATCAAAAAAGGGTGGAAACAATTTTAGGCTTAAGGTGGAGCGTCAAAGAAAAGTATGATTCATTCGTCTTAGATGAACAAGTAATATTTAATGTGGCGAAAGTTGTTAAAAAATCAGAATGCCACCAATTGTTCATCGACCACTTCTTTACGTACCACACTCGTTTTGACATTTATCAGAAATGAGAGACTTTGCCTATGGAATGAATCAAATCAAAGACGATCGGGTATCAAACTCACCGTTTCGGAGTTAAACATTTGTTAAAAAAACAAAACTGGTCTTTGAATGCCTGATGGACAATTACAATGAGATTATAGTTTGTTAGAAGGCCTCCTTGTCGTGGTATATTTTTATATTTAGCAACAGAAAATACTTCAAGACGTAATAGTTTAAGTAGCCCCTGTCTTTGGAGAAGTGAGGAAGCTAATGAAGTTCTGGACACTGGAAACCCTAATTACATTTTGCCATCTGGCACCCGAATTGCATTTGAGGGTATTATAACAAGAGGAATTCGATAGATAGTTAAAAAGGACAGAGTTGATTTTATAATTCGTGACGGTAAGAAGAATAATGCGTGTAGACTAAGTAGTTCGTAAGCATATTCGCAAAGTCCCGTCCAGCTTCACACAAGAATGAAAAACTTCGTAGAGAACGGGTTTCGATATCTTCGGCGACACATGATTATCGTTTAACTGAAATTAATGAAGTAAATTAAACATTTGAAGCTTGGTAAAAATGGGTTGATGCTAATCAATGTTTTCTTTTCACGTGGTTATGAAAAAAATAGTAGAAAGTTTGTGTTTTACTTCGACAGTTTCTCTTCAAATTGGTCGAGAAGAATAAACACGATTTTCCAAACTTCTAAGACATATGCTTTGTGAGAGACTTTTATTTTCGTTTCACCCAGAGACCGTAAGAATACATTGAAACGAAGGCACCATCGTTCGCCGGGCCGAAGTTTCTGGCGAAAGGAAGTCATTTTGTGGGAGACGTCTTGAAGAACCCGTTGCCGAGGCGCTGGCGGGCGGGCCGACTGACACCCCCCCCCACACCCACCCCAGCCAGATCGCCAGACAAGAAGCACCCGCCCCGCCGCCCCACGCCGCGCACACGCAGCGCCCACGCCCGGCGCGCCTCTGCTCGAGGAGGAATAACCGTTTAGGATTTATGGGCTGCTTCGTTACGGCGGCGGCCGATTTATAGAGTCCGCCGCGCCGGCGAGACGAGGCAAGCGAAGGGTGCGGCGGTGGGCGGTCCGCGGCGGGGGCGGCAACGGGGGGGGCGGGGCTGATAGGCTGCGGAAGTGGCGGAGGGGCCTCCCGATGATGGCGGTGGGAGTGTGGCGATGGCGATAACGCTGACCCACGACCCGCTGTCAGCGCCGAGAGAGCAACCAAATTGTGCTTTCTTAATGATGCTGACACCCCACGAGTAAGTCTCGTTGCTCCCACCGTCTCGTTCAGCGTTGTAAGTCAATGCTAACGAGCCTGACCGAGTGCGCTCAAGAATCCCTTGAGCCGGACGCTGGGGCGGCGAATGAAGTGCTCGCGTGCCGGCGCATTGGCGGTAATCTAATGCAATGCTTCGCGTTCCAGTGATGAATTTGGTCGTGATGAACATTTTCTTGTAATAATTGAATATTTGCATGCATAATGTCGCGTGCGATCTTGACAATGTTCTTTGAAGGAGGCAACTAGCTATGCAATATTTTATCTCCGGCACTGGTTTCCGCATTCCGAAGAAAATGTTTGTAAAATTAAATATTAATGTTTTGACTTCAAAAGCTTTAATATCAGTTATCTTAAGAATTTGTTAGAAAATGTACTGCACATTTGCCTGAGTTTTCCTCAGCACCTGGCACAAACATTACTGTTTAAATTATTTTATAATATCATACATCATTATGAATTAAAGGTGAGAAAAGAAAGTTAATTGAAGGCTTGAAATACAAAAAATGTAAGTGGCTTAAGTGGCTGTTAATGTTACTTTTCACCATCGTAATGATGAATGAATGAATGATGATGATGATGATGATGATGATAATAATAATGAATTAATCAAGCCCTACCACCTAAATAAGAACCAAAGTCAGACACATTTCTTAATAGTGTTACGAGGTGATTATAAATGGCAAGACTTGAATGTACCAATAGGTTTAACGTATAAATAAACTGACTTCTTTTTATTTCAAGCCTTCAGTTAATAGTAGATAGATATTTGGATCAGTCATAAATATTCCATATTTAGTATCGATAAGAAAATTCACGAAAACCACGATTGTCTCAAGTTGATATACACTAACAAATGGAATTATACCTAATGTGTCTCTGTTGTTTTTTTTTCCTTTTAAGAGAGGTGAAATGATGTGTAGCGAGTTGTGTGTGCTTGTCTGAGAGCGCTGTGTCGGTCCGCAGGCGCTGAACGGCTTCCTCCTCATCCTCACGTGCGAGGGCGAGGTGTTCTTTGCGACGCACAGCATCGAGTCCTACCTCGGCTTCCACCAGGTGAGCCACGCCCCCGCACCTTCTTTTAAAAAACTTTTTTATTTCACAATTTGTTCCATTTTCAACGTTTGGTGACATTTTTAACACTATAATTACATAAAGATAAAGACATTGTGGAAGATTCTTCTGGATTCAAACATTAATTTGACTATTGCATTAAAATATATTTTTATGTGACAAATATAATGGTTTATTTATTTTTAATCTGTGTGTTTCTTCACTGTTGTTCAGGATGTTGATGGTCAAGCGATTAGGGTGATCTTGGAGTCTGTCTTGGTATTTTCTGCTGTACTTGGTCACAGTTTCGTATACCGCTTGGAACCTGTACGTCATTGTGCAGGAGATTTATTAGAAATGAACCATGGTGCATTAAGTAGAATTTTTAGTACTTTGAACTGAAATCTTTGTAGGATCTCTATATTGGATTGACTGGCACTGCCTCATAGTTAGATACCATAAGTCCATATTAGCAAGGATGGATTTGTATAAAAGGATTTTATTTCGGAGGAAGAGAGGGGAGTGTCTACCTTACCTATCCAGTAAAGTTTATGTAATTTGATATTTAGCTGAACACCCGGTCTCTAGAAGTCTCCTGCGGACAGCGGCTGAATGCGACCGAGCTATGTAGATGAATTTTAATTTATTCAGATGGTGAATATATACTTAAGTTTAAATGACTATACATGTTGGATAGCTTAATAGCTAACGTAAATTAAAACTTAAAACTAATACAGAGGATGAGGTTGCCCATTGGCCTCCTCTAGTCGGGGCCTAGTACGGAGAATTCTTGAGGAAAATGTGAAAGGGACATTTATTTTGTATTCTGGTTCTCTGTGAAGGGTTTTTGCCGAGTCAGTGAACGGATAGTGAAGGGGTTTGGGGTATGTTTGAATTATGCCTCCGTCGGGACTCGATCCCCAGGGCGTCCAGCCCAGAGTCGCCGCCCCTGAGCCTCCGGAGCCGGCGAGGAGGCGCTGCGCAGATCTGCGTGGGTCGGAGGCTGCCGCCGCGCTCATTATCGAGTGGCGATGCCGTGCGTCGGCGGCTGGCCTGCCGGCCGCGAGCGGCGGCGGGGGGCGGGGCGGGGGCGGGGCGCCGGGGCGATGGCGACGGTCCGGAAGGGGCTGGGGGGGGGGGAGAATTTATGGGGGGCAAGTGTCACCGGCGGGGGGCGCGGCTCGTTACGCGCGCGGTCCCGTCCTCCCCCGCCCCCCTCCGCCGCGCCTTCCTAACGGGTGAAG